TTTCGATTGCTGGCAAATAGTTATGTATTTGCAAGCATGCATGGCTATTTGCCAGCAGTTGCAATTGGAGCGCATGTACTACGGGCAGGTTCGGACAACTCGTCCAACACACATCTCCCTAAACGGCAGGGGGAGTCCCTGTCTAAGCCCCTGCCCGACGTTTTTTTCTTATTTTCTTTATCTATTATAAAGAAATTGGTCGCACCAAATGCTCAGTTGACTGTTATGAACACATAGCTATGATGGCGATTACGGGCAGTGTGTCTAGGAGACCTATTCGAAATTAGGAACTACACTTCGCAGACAAGTTTTCGTTTTTTGCCTTTGAAAGTGACAGTTGGCTGCACATAGCGGTCAGACCGTCTTTATGAAGCAGCAAGAGTAGTGTTGGTGCAAACGAACCTGTGCAATCAATGTTTTTGTCAAAGAATGGGTCAGCCTTTCCAGATTTCAGCACTATCACAACAAAATGTTGTAATTGCAATAAAAATTAGCGTGTAATACTGAAACAGGCCAATTATTGACCAGTAGGCCCAATCCTATATGGTGCGGCTCGATACTACGCTTGCTCTTGACATAAAGGGTACTATCCTTTTTTTCTTGGGAGCCATGCAAACTGTGGGTGATTTTGTAGTGCTTCAATACAATATTTGATTTTTGGCAAAGAAAATCTCCGAAATCGATCAATATTTGCATCATTCATCATCGTGAATCTCACCTCAACGAGACCAATGGGCCGAAAATGCTATCTACACCGCCATCAGTGGTTGGGAATGAGCCAAACTCCGTACAGCTCTGCCATGTCCACGCGCGATCAATTACTGAAACCATCAGACGTAACTCTGAATTCACAAGAATCCAAAAAGTTGATGTTTTTACGTTACGCGGGGATGATGCAGTGAAATGAGGCATCGCTACCACATGCATAGTTTCCCATATTGAGGGTACGAAAGTCGAATAGGAAGAGGACATTGTACCCTATCACATAAAGCACAGGCAAGGAGATAGAAGTGGAGAAAGTCGGAATGAAGTGGAAGTGACCTCGCTGTCCCCATAACTTTGGCCCACCTTCTAGTACGATGTTTTCTTGGAATGGAAATTTAGAAGGAAACCCACGGATGTTCTCACAAGGGAAGTCCCTCGAGTCGCCATGGCCATTCGAGATGAGATGTATACCCACGTATGCGTCTTGGAACGCTGATCTCGAATCTGTCTTCCAAATCTGCTAAACGATTCGGAGAGAAGAGTCATAATACATAATTGTTAGTCGTAATACAAGTTCCCTACTATATTGCTTTGCGGCGATGAGTCATATCTACAAATATGGCATGCGGTTCATGTTTTATGCTATTTCCTCCTGGTCTAAGCCACGTTGCCATTCATCTCGCCTTTCGCAAAAAAAGTCGGTGTAGAACTTTCACTTTTGTAAGTCTTCATTTGAACTTGAAAGCAACAATACACAGGACGAATTTGCGGGTTAAATACCGTTGATAATGTAGTTATAGGGCGACAATTTGACCGACAGTGACGAAAAAACCAAAGAAAAACGCCGAACAGGGCTTTAAAACAGGGACTCCCCTTCTGCCGCTCAGAGATGTGGGAAGACGCGCGTTGGACGAGTTGTCTGAACTTGCCCCACTAGAATGCGCTCCAGCTTGCATAACACTAACATAATTACATAACACTATACATAACATAACAACATCACAAACAAAAAAATCCAGTGTAACAGGCAGGATCACATTGATTACTTTAAAGGACAGAGTTCAAATACTCCCTGTGGTCCCAAAACGAGCGCGAATGCCTCCGTAGCCAAATCACGGCTGGCAAGTGGGCGGTCCCGAAGAAATCTCCAACCACACCCATCTTTGAGGAGTTTAACGCCCTTTTAGGCTTTTCCCAGGTGGGTTTTCTTTATAACTACACTTTAGATGTTCTCCAATAGGGCCTGTGCATCCTTTAGTGCCATTAGTTTTGAAAGAAGCAGACCCTGCTGGGACTGTTGCTTGGAAGAAAAACATCAAATACTTACGGTCGTAGCCCTCTTCATCGAAAGTTTCGTTTTTGAGATATCTGATCATGTCACGGTAATTACTGGGGGTATATGGAGCCATATTTATGAAGAATTTGCCCTGCATATCTAAATGGAAGACAAGCAGACTAATTTTTTTCGATAGAAGACTCTACGCAGAAAAATCTTATAAGAATCCGGACTCGAAAGACTGGCTTCAAAACAATGATGCTCACTACGTTTGGGTCACGGTAATGATATACTCCATGAAAGCAACGGCAGGCGGCGCAATGCTCATAATTCATGAGACCACAAATCGGTTTCTGTAGAAAAAAAAGTGGATACGACCCTCTGCTAAAATTATCTGCTTATGAAATGGCCGTTTTTTTTTGTTGAGATCACTAGAACTTTATCGCGAAGGTACCATAAGCGAACACCCCTGTGCGCACTCCAAATGAAAGATTTGGTGCAAATGAATTAGAGCTTGAACAGCCTGGATATCGTTCTTGTATGTCAGTCGAACCTATTGAAAACGGAGGTTTGAGACTGAACAGAGTTTTTAAGAGCAATCATAGGCTCAGCGTTGAGACATCTCTGACAGGTGTTTTGCAAGCGCTTCGTACAATCAACCCTACGAAAGTTGAACCAGCTGGGTTGCGGAACAATGCTGCTGCCGGAACTATGCATCTTACTCAATTAGAACTTATGCCTAACTCGTCTCTTTCTAGGTAATCTCGCAACTGTTCCTCTTTGAAGGTTTTTCTTTGCAGCACGCGCCACACGCGGAAGAAAAATAGCAATCTGTGGATTTTTTCAGCGTTTGTTTATGACAAACCATCAGTTATACTTTTTTTGGACATCAGGACTATATCACATAGGGGTTGCCACAGAATTGGTTAAATTCGATAAGGTTATTGACAGCTGGTAACATAGGTAACAAAAACCTACGGAGTGTAGGGTATAACGATGCTGTCCACAATGGCGTTAGTCGTCCAGAGCTTCACAATATTCCATGGGAGAAGAGATTGGATTTGAGACAGAATCTCATTGAAAGCGTTTTGTGATTTCTAACGGCCTTTTATTTCTTATTTAAAAGGGGATGTAGTTACGAGCCGGGACACGATGGCATTATTGAAGCTGGGTCGAGATTAAGGAGAGAACTTCTCGGAAAGAGACTAACACAATAACGGTGGGCTCGCCTTACGTGCTACGTAACCCACCGCGGCGCTGTTGGTAGGCATTAAGTCCGTACGTAGTAGGTTTTCAATGTTTTTCGGTGGTTTGTTGCCTTTGTGGCTGCCGCATTATTGCGCAAGTGGATGATGCTGACCCGATGAAGCCCTTGAATTAGCACGGGACTAAAAGTGCGCAAAGGCGGTAATCAATTTCCCAGAGGTATGTACTATCACAATGAGGTGCACGTTCAAGAGCACTAGCAGCTATTTTATACGTCGAATCAACTTCGAATAGCATACGGACATACGAAGGTTATACGATACTTGACTACTCAGCATGTCGATCATTTGCGCGAATCCAATTTGTATATTATCGGCGCACGTCTTGTTGTATGAGCGGTACACATTTTCAACGAACTGGGTGGATTGGCTTTGGAAAAACAGAAAAAGAGAGTTCAATTTTTGAGAACATGAAAAGCTTTAAGATTTTATTCAGAAATGGAAATCGTTTTCTTCCATCATTTTCACTTTGTGCCCACTGAAAAAATGGTTTTCCAAGTTGGATTTTTAAGAGGAATCTATAGGCAAAAAATTGTGGCATCGAATTTGCTCATTTCACCTCTCAACTACTCACCCCAAAAGTCAACTCGTGGTTGTAGCAGTGCTGAACTACCAACAGCTCCAGCGATTAATTTCGGATATTTTTGTCGAGCCCAAAGGGCCAGAGAACCTGAATTGATATCATGGGTAATTTCGTTGAATTCAAAACAGTCCGTGAAATATGCATCTGTAAAGCGGGCTATGTCAATTGCTGACGAACCGCTCCTTCGATACATGCACAATAGCTGTGGGCTGAGACCTCACTGATGTTTTTCCGAGTTTTGACGATTTCGATTTTATGGACCGATTTGTATGTTTGTATTCTAATTACCGCTAGCATTTCTGCTTAATAACATATATAAGGCATTTTTTCCTGTATCACCTGTATCACCTGTCGTCCCGTTGATCATCGAATTGCTCGAGCGGGCGCCAGCAACGTCTCCATTCGTCCCTGTCGCGTGCAAGAGTTGTCCAGTGGACCCTCCTCGCTCGAGGGACACGGTGTCCTTCATTCCTTTCGTTCAGAGCTTTCGTGAAGAAGTCTGACCATCGGGCCGGCGGTCGTCCAGGTGTTCGTTTGACGTCCCGAGGGATCCAGTCGGTAACCGCTCTGGTCCAACGGTCATCGCAAAATCGCATGACGTGTCCGGCCCACCTTATCTTCGATTCCTTGGCGAAAACGGCAGCGTCCCTGATCTTCGATCGTTGGCGTAGTTCCGAACTCCGGATTCCCCTCTGCACTTGCGTGTATAGGGTTACTCCTAGCATCGTCCTCTCGACAGCGCGTTGGATAACGCTGACCGCATGCTCGTCCTGCCTGCGCAGAGTCCAAGTCTCTGAGGCGTAGGTTAGGGCAGGAAGGACAGCGGAATCGAAGAGGTGGGCACGGAGCCGGATGTTCTTCGTCTTCTTCACTACTCCCTCGATGTTCTTCTGTACGCTCCCCAAGCCGCTCGTTTCCCTATTGAAGTCATCAACTGATCGCACAAATAATAGGCTTGGGTTCGATACAACGAGAGGAAAAGTGAAATTTAATCAATGGAAGTGCCACGTAAAACAGTTTAGTGTTCTGTTTAACATTTTACTCAGTGAAATGCCACTTTCGTTTACTGTTTTCTTCTTTCAAAGCGCCAAGTTGGCAGTACTAACCAGCATATGATCCGCCAAAGACAATCCATTTTGGGTCTTTGAGTTTATGCTTCTCGTTCATTTTCTCGATAAACGTGGCAATATCTTCAAGCGCCTGGCGACTGTTGAGAAATCGCAGATTCTGCACAGACATATCGCTGAAATATTTCTATAAGAGTCCATAAATCACAAGTTAACTGTGGCTTACACAATAAGTTCAACTTGCGGTGAGTTAATGGAATTTGAGGCTGAGGACCATTCTTAAATTAGGTGTTTTCAGTTGAGCAGTTAAAATATTGTGGTGACTTGTTAAATGGCGTTGCGGGAGGATCACTGGTATAACTTTTCGCTCAGTCTGACAGATAGCACACCCTTCATGGCATCTTCCCTTATAGCTATTTTGCTCTCTTGCCAATTGTTTTATTATATTAAAAAAGCAGTATGAAATTGGTGAAGAAAGCTATCAACCAACTCAGTTGGACGACTTTTTCCATAGAAGCGATGTTCGAGTGCAAAGATTAGGGCTCCTCTCTCCTTTGCCCACTGCACAAATGGAAATTGCTCTTTATGCACCTGAAAATGTGCGCTAATACATCCAAAATTTTTTTATCTGAAATATATGACACGGTTAACGCACCACGTTGTCTTCTAATAATGTAATATGAAGAGATTTTTGATCTTCAGCATGTCTTCGGACGTCTAGCATTCAGCACATCAGCCACCTAATTGGTATCAAATTGTCCGACTACATGAACGTTTGTAAGTATGTCCTGTCTGTCTTAGAGTGATGCGATAAGTGATCCTATAAAATAAACCAGCTTCTTACAAAGGTTGGGCAAAGCGCGTTCGTTAAAATGTCGAGTGAGTGTTGTGACGTGGCGGCGGAGATCAACTTTAAAGGTGTCGCGGATTTTGCGCGAAATTTGGGTTTTTCCCACGTATATGCTGGGAGCAGTACGCAAGGGCAGACCATGTGCAGAACTGGCGGGGTGTTCTAGCAAGGTTTAGGAGCCTAAGGGTGGAGATTGGCGCCGCCCCAATCCTAATTGAGCCCGTCCAGTGTCCTACGTGATCTTTCAAGCAACAACCTGGAAAAGCGGAGATGTTAAAGCGTTGGTAACTGTAATAGGAAGATTCCATGGATTTCAACTGTTTTGGGAAATTGCTATGTTGCGACCATTTGTTTTCAGAGAACATTGTCAGTTTAGGGGAGAAAAAAATTTTAAATAAGAAGCAGAACAAAAACTGCCAGAAAAAAATAGAAAATAAAATGAGGAATAGGGAAACTAGAAAAAATCAGCTTTTCATTGCTGACTTTTTGTGGCCGTGTCGGTTGATGGCACAAAGCCAACAGTTGCTGTAGACATGTCCAAACACGTAATTTTCCCAGCCCTGGTTCGTAAGCGACTAACGAAGAGGAATTTCTAATTTTGGAGTTCTTTGGAAGGTATTTCCTGCTTTTTCATTACCTTCGATCAACTTAGCACCCAGCTCTCCCTACTCAAATAGGTGAGTCCTCGTATGTGTAGGGCCGATTTGCCTTGTTGCAGCCTTTTAAAATGACATGCGATTAAATTTTATTCGTTAAGTATCAAGTCAGTTTTCTCGATCTGCTTTTTGAACGGATCGTGGAAATGTGGTGTAATGTGGCTTTATTTGCTCAGAGGTGAATAGATGGGGAACGCCTAGTGTTTGTTCGTATAACTTTTGCATCTTTGGGACGTACGAGAGTCAGTCGAGAAGCCCACTGTACGGCGAATACACGAGAGATGTGTGCGCCTATGATTTGTGAGAGTGACCGTATTCAACTTGATCCACATCCGTCTTCAACGTCAACGCTACACAACACAGTTGTTCTGAAGCTAACCCTCTAAGTTCAGCCGGGCGAATCACTGGGGAAAATTCCCTTCGCTGTAAATTCCGCGTGTACCTGGTCAAACCCTTGTAAATTGAACGATTTCTGCCGCTGTACTATCACGGTTTTAGAGCGGCTTCTCTAATCACGTCATTCATTATGCTTAAACTCGCTAACTAACGTATACCGTTGCCCAATTAAATAGCAAATACTCACCCACATGATATGCTGAAACTCCGGCGCCTCCCAACATCAAGAAAACGACATTATTTCCAGACCGATGGTAGCGCAAATTATAGAAGTAGCGCTAGAAATTCAAATTAATAAATAAATCACTTTCATGAGGTAATACTCCCTTACAAAACGAGAAGAGTCGGGTGCAGACCATACACCACAAGTGACGACGGCCTTCACAAAATGTAAATGTTTTCTGCCAATGAAATGATTAGCCTGTTGCAGTTGTATTCTATCAGTTGTCACTAATTACAACTATCATTTACCAAAAATCAGCTATCACTATGAAACACTGCTAATCAGATTTACTTGAGGCCGTCGTCACTTGTGGTGTATTGGTCTGCACTCGACACTTTCCTCTCGTTTTTTGAAAGCGGAGGGTCACGCTGGAAGGCGACTTTGCTACTGAACTCTTACATCCATAGCCGCTACCGCAGCATTTTTCCACTAGTAGAGGGCGTTGATGCACGCTCTTAGTTGAGCTCGAATCCGTCTGCTCGGGCGTACGAGTTACACAACCCAAATAACAAATAAACACTCATTACGGAAGGCTCATAAACTTCCTATTAGGTTGGTCCATAATTTCTGTGACGAATACGTTCAAGTGATGAAAATTTTTAACACGTTGACGACATCGCATGTTTTGGCATTTTGCACCTCGTGGGACAGGAGCGATTTTGCGACCGCGCCGTCCTCACCTTACTTACGCTTATTTTTTGTTAAAAATGCACAATAACTTGAATTTCATAGGACTATTTCGGCAAGGACGATCGCACAAAGGTTAAGTATATAAGTAGCAAAAGGTTTTCGTTTAGAAGAGCGCATAATAACCACGAAGAAGTAAAAAAACATCACTTTCGCTGCGAATGAAATTAAAAGCATTTATATCTAAGTACTCCCATCAAATCAAATATATTGAAACTCACAGAGTTTTGTTTCAACTAACTCTAAAATCTTTCATAAGAATATTGACGGCAGTGAAAGTATTATTAAGAAAGAATCGGAACGAAAGTTTTGTGCGTTCGGAAAATCTTTGCTTAATCAAAAGATACTTGACCACTCTAGCTGCCAAGCGGTTTATAGTCATGCTAATGTATTATCTATAAACCAGTTGGCGCCGCACGCATTGCGCGCGCAACACAGATCTGCGGCGAATTTTGATGGTGCGACGAAAATTTTCAAATTTGGCTTGATACAATACGAATATCTGAATTCTCCGCTAAATTCTATCCGCTCTTTCTTCGTCAACCATTATCCTCTTTTTCTCGGTCTCCGGACTGCTTCCGGACAATAAATCTCGTGGCGAACTCCGTCTACTTCGGTGCGTGCCCTGCCCACCAATAGCATTTGGCCCCTTCCTTTCGCCGACCTCTACCCCTTTTTCACCGGTCTCTGGGACCTCTTGGAACCAAATTACGACACTTTTGGCAAACTCCGCCCACTTAGGTGCGTGCTCTACCCACTAATAGCATTTGACCTCCTTTCCTTCGCCGACCTCTACTCCTTTTTCCCAGCCTCCTGGACTTCTTGGAGCCGAGTTATGAATTTTCGTCGCAAACTCCGCCCACTTTGGTCATGTCCCTCCCACCATTGACAGCTGGCCTCCACTCCTCCACCCACCTCCATCCACCTTTTCCGCGGCCTCAGGGACTTCTTGGAGCCAAGTCATGAATTTTCGTCGCAAACTCCGCCCACTTTGGCCAAGCCCCGCCTACCACTGGCCTTTGACCTCCACTTTCCCACCCAACTATATCTTCTTTTTTCCCCACTCTCCGGGACCTTCTGGAACCGAGTTATGAATTTTCGCCGCAAACTCCGCCCACTTTGGTCTTGCTCCGCCCATTGATGGCTGTTAGCCTCCACTCCTCCACCCAATTCTATCCACCTTTTTCCCAGTCTCCTGGACTTCCTGGAACCGAGTTATAAATTTCCGTCGCAAACTCCGCCCACTTTGGTCATGCCCCGCCCACCAATGGCCGTTGACCTCCACTCCCCCACCCAACTCTATCCACCTTTTTCCGGCTCACTAAGACGTCTCCGGCCCGAATTATGAGGACTCGTAGAAAATGCTGTTCACTTCAGAGCACGCTCCGCCCACTGTGGGCGGGCCTCCGTAAACTTCGTGTATGCTGGGCACACCTTAGACATTGCTCTCCTGCATCATTTTGTTTTCTGCTCTGTAGTTTTCCTCCCAACCGAGTTTTGAAATTTTTCACAAAGCACCGCTTTTTTGGAGAACGCTCCGCCCACTGGGGGTGGGTCTCCCTCATTTGATGTGACTTACCAATGTACACCTTCACCCACTTTTTGGCCCAGTTTCGAGGCTGTTTTCCCACTGAAACTGAAATCGTGGTCTTCGGTACAATTCATTTCGACGCACGCCACGCCCTCTGTGGGCGGGGCTCCGCTTAGCTGATGTGTGTAACGTTCGTACAGCATACATACATGTGTGTTTTGTGTTACGTGAGACCTTGCCCACCCATCCACACTTGACCCGGTCCCTCCAGGTGGATCCCGAGGAGCTAGGGAATTTCGTGACAGACAAACAGAACGACAGACGACAGACGACAGACGACAGACGACAGACGACAGACGACAGACGAAGCGCTTTATAGTAAGTAGGATGATACAAGAAACCCGAGAGGAAGGAGCGCAAGCACGATAAAAGTGAGTAGCATAGACTTGACGCGCTTGCGCGTCAGAATGTCCGATGCGGTGCGAAATTCTTGACGCGCATGCGCGTCAGCTTGTCGTCAACGTGTTAAAGAATCTCATCAGAAATCAGAAAATTCCACAACATGTTTGTTGACATAACATCTGCTTCTTAAAATTTGCGGTCAACCAGTCAGCTTGTTCTCGCTCCTTCTGATGGCAACCGATTGACGATGGTTCGAAAAGTTTTTCGGTATCTCTCAATTTTCGCAGAGAACGGCTGCAATCTTTTCAGTCAAAGCTAACACAGGGATCAACTTAGAGAATGGGCAAAGACAAGCTCCTTTAGCACGGGTGTACGGTGCTGGCATCGGCTTTGCGTCGATCATTTTTTATCGTTAAGCTGGCCCAGT